GAGGTTCAGGGGCCCCCTTCATTATACACCTTTAGACGCTAGACAAAAATGTTCCTCTTCAACCAGGCCTTTGGCTGATTATCTTCCAATACCCTTTTAAATATGTTGTGGGAAGAGGGGTCATCTGTTCTGGTTTTTATTATTTGTGTGTGTTTTTTATCTTGCATTTTTGTGTTGTGAACCACCCTGGGATCTACAAATGAAGAGTGGCATACAAATTTAAATAATAATAAAACCAGTTGGTGTGGTGTGGCAACAACATTGAACAATTCCCCCACTCTTCTTGCACATGTGTGCTTCTGTTCCCTCATGATAACAGCAGGAAAGAACCGTTCGCCAGTATGGAGCCCCAAGTTTTATCACTTTAATCCTGCAATTCTGAGGATTATGGAGGCTGCAAACAGATTTTTTTTCCTGGAGTCAAGTAACATGGAAATGTTACACAAAGCATGTGCTATGTTCCATTAGATTTCTGGAAGTGGCTTTTATGCCATGTGGAAGTTGAAATATAATGTGGAATTTAACACTTGGGGAAGCTTTGGGAAAATGGAATAAACTGCTATCTGAATGCAGCCAGAATCATCTGTACTCTGAGCATTCTGACTTGCAGGGAGTGGGGAGATTCCTTTGCCCTTGGCTTGCTGACAAGTGGCTTTGCAGAAGACTGCTCAAATCCTTTCTGCTCGCTATTTCACACCTTTACTTGTGTCTAAAAATAACATTGCATGGAAGGGGTTTGTTTTGCTGTTTTGCATAGTGAATGAAAACAACAAGATGACATTTAGGAGATATTGTGCAGGTGGTGGGGATTCAATCCAGATATTCAACAATGCTCAGACCCAACGCTTTCACAGAGATAGTAAAAGATCATTCCCTCCCCCACACACAAACATTCATAGGTGTGTGGATGATGGGGCTTAGAGTATGATTCACCCCGATGTTGTGGGTTTCTGCCCCCTCCCTCCCTTAATATGACAGGCTGGTGCAAACAGGGAAGTAAAATTAATGAAACACATCAAAACCCCATTGAAAAGAAATTCAAGCAACATTACCCTATAGAGAGCTGCAATTCAGCCCTGAGTCATGCTTCTCAACTAGATCTCCATACTGCAGAATAGCTTCAGCACCCCAAGTTCCCTCCAAGCCTTTAAGGCAACCAGCATCCTACACTTGAGTATTCAACAGCTTCAGCTAATCAACCCTTTCTTGGCTCTCCTCCCAGCTCTGTCACTGCACCTCCATTCTGATTTTCTGACTTGTAATAGCCTTCATTTAATTCTAAGGCTAGATTTGCACACACTCTGCCTTGCGACAGCCTTCATTATTCCAGCCTTGCCCCACTGCACTCCAACTTTACCACAGAATTACTGCCCCACTTTGGGAGAGGGCTGTGGTTCCATGATGTGAGAGGCTCCTTCAATGCCTGAAAACTCCAGTTAAAAGAGCACAGGAAAGCCTGGGCAGGGAAGATCTCTCTGGAGGCTGGACACACCAACAATAGGACTGAGGCTCTCAAAAGGCTGCTCCATATTATCTGTTTGTATTGTGCACACATTACTGCTTTCCCTCCTCTATCCTCTCTGCACAGTGAGTGGTGTTAGGTAGGGCTGAGCTACGCCATGCAAAGCACCATGGCTCCCGTTACCCTGAATTCACACCAGGCAACAGAAACAGCTAAAAAGTCCTCTTCCTGCACTTTTAGAGGGAACAGAGATTTATTTTTTTAGCTGCTGAACAAAATCATGCTGTAACGCTTCTCTTCCCTGGGCTCTATTGAAGGCAGGCACTCCTAAGGCATGGTAAATGCAGCACACGGGTTTGAGATCAGAGATGGGGAACCTGCAGCTCTACAGATCTAACACCCATCAGCTGAAGCTGGCATGACCAAAGGACAGGGATGGTGGATGCTGAAAGCCAGCAACACCTAGTGGAGGTTCCTCATGAGCAAGGCACACTCGGAAAGGAAATGGGAAGGGAGGCAACAGGAGGAACAAAAACCATTTTTACCCCAGCGACAATTCACTAGCAGATGGGAGTTTCCCCCAAATGAGGTTGTGCTTTCCCCCCACCTGTCAGGAGCCTGGCAAAAAGTCAAGACAGGATTGCCTTGCCGCTAATGGGGAGGGGGAGAACAGGGTGTGCTTCCATCTGCTACAGCCATTTGGCAGCCCTGATTACCAACTGTGTCAGACTGCAGGGGTTCTGCACAGCTACCCATAGGAGGAGTCCCTGGTGTCAGCTGCTCGGAGGGGGGAGGGAGGAGGAAGAGAAAGGGGAGATCTCTGGGGAGTGCGGAAAACACCATGCAAAGACAGACACACACACACACCAGGATCCTATGCAAGAGTACTACGAAGTAATCCCAATGAACTTAATTGGATTTACTTCCAGGTAAACGTGCGAAGGATTGCAGCCTTAAACCTTTTGGGGCGAGGTGAGGGGTGGAATTCTCTTCAATAGTTACTTAAGGATGTGGCTGCTGCCTCTAAGCCAAATCTTTGAAGAAAGATGGGAGGACATTGACTCTAACAAGCTTTGTGGGGGACACAGAAAACAGAACGCCACTTGGAAATAAAAAGCATTGCTATATAAACACTACACACACACACACACACACACTTCCATTTCCTCCTCCACAACACACGCCCGCCCTCCTCTTCTAGATTGCTTAACGCAGATTCCTACAGAACTCTCACAACTAGGAGTTAAGGAGTAGGAAAATGTCATGTCACTCCTGCCTACCCCGCTCTCCCGCCCCTTTAACGCATTCTAAAGGGAGACGTGGATTTTCTAATCGATGCGACTCTGAATAATGCGCGGCGGGAGAGGTTAGTGTTAATTCCTCCGTGTGTGTGTGTGTGTGTGTGTGTCCGCCACACTAGCAACACAAGGGGCGGCGGCGGCGGAGAGACAGCTCAGCGTGGTTTGGGGCATGGGATGGGTGTGGAAGGCACATTCCGCTGCCTGCACGGGTGCATCGAAGCAGCGGAACAAGTTACACAAGCGTGCCCTTTCTCCTACTTTCTCTCACCCCCACCGAACCTCACCTGCTGGCGCGCTTTGCGGCCCTGGCCCCCAACTCGTGTGTCCCCTCCCCACTTCTTCTGGCATGCCCACTAACGCAAGCCCTTCCCGACTCGCCAGAAGCATCCGGCGTCCGGTCCTGCTGCCCTTGACCCACCCACGCAGCGTGGGCGGGGAGTCTCCTTCCGCCGCTCCCCCGCACGAAGCCCACCCCCCTCCTCCTCCTCGGCCGATCTCCGCAGTGGCAAGCAGAACATTCCTCCAGGCGCCCCGCTTTGCAACACCCATTGCCAAACCCTTAGAAAGACCCTCGGGGGCGGGCCGGGACGGGAAGAGGACCTGCGGTGGGAAGGAGGGGGCGGCCGGGCACGCTCTCCCCGTCCTGCCGCGCCCCTCGGAGGCGACCGATTAGCTGGCATTTTTCGAGCTTCCCCCGCTCTCCCTCCTCCTCCTCCTCCTGCATCCGTCCGTCTGGCTTCCAGCAGTCCATTTGTCAGCGCCAAGCAGGCGCCCCCGCCCCGCCAAGCAGCGAGGAGGGGCCCAGCCAACCCGCCCCCCCCCCACGCCGCCGTTTTCAAATTAAAACGCCTAAACGGTCGTCGTCGGTGACACACAGACCCAGTATTGTGCTCCCGACCCGGTAAATAATCAGGTTACTGTGCTAAAAGCCCAGGAGGCTGCACAAACACACCACGCAAGCAGGCTACAGGTTCGGATCTGGCATACTGAACTGCACAGACCGCCTCTCGCGCTTGCTAACTTGCCATCTTCCCCTGATTTTTCTTTTTTTTTAAAGAAATACTGAACACCCCCCAAGAGAGCGGGATCGGGGCCCCATGTGCAAGGAAGGCGCTGCCCGGGAAGCGCGCGCGCCCGCTCAACCCCGCGCGCCTTTTACTACGGATTGGCCAAGAGGTCGAGACTTTCGTTTTCTTTTACTCCCCTTCCGCGCCCCCGCGATCCGTTGAATGAGTCTTTCTCTCACACGGGCGAAAATTGCTTCAGGAATTCAGCCCTCCTTCCCGCGCCTCCCGCCCCCCCCCCCGCCCGGCCTCTAACCACCACCTTTGCTAACAGAGGAGTGTTGTAATGTTGGGGGTGTATTCCTGAAACGGCGATTCAGGAAGATAACCCTGTCAGGCGCGGTTACAAGCGCCTGCCAACATTTCTGCATGCAACAGAGTAGTAGTGGAAGGATTTCTCTCTTTAAGTTCAGTTTCAACATCGCGGGGGAAGAGAGAGATAAAAGGCTGGGAAACAAGATATTCTGCACTCTTCTTTTTTTAAGGCAGCAAACCCACAGAGCAACCATGTTACAGTTGTAAGCAAAACAAAATACCCCACCATCAACAGGCACGCAGCTTTATTATAGCTACAGACAAGACGCCGACTATAATCGTTAATGGATTTCCGCAAACGCCCCGTTGCTCCGCACAAGAACACACTCTTAAAAGAAACCAACTGACCTCAAGGAGCGCCCCGGATTTTCCATCGCTAAATTATAGGCGGACAAACTGTTGCTTTTATTATGCACTTTGTGCAGCCGGTTTGCATTACGAACCTCCCTGTGATCTCCGTATGAAGGGCGGCGTACAAATTCAATGGAGAAATGAAAATCAACTCTGAAACACTCTCCCACCCCGCTTCCTGGGGGCTGCGCGAGAAACCGGCCAGACAGAGGATCTTTCCGAGCCCGATCTCTTCCCGGCGCCTCGCGATTCACATGCAAAGCGGCGACTCCGCTTCGCCCCACCCAAATCTGCCTTCCTGCTCCATCTCCTCCCTCCTCCCAAGTTTGCTTCCTGCGGACCGAGCGCACCACGAGCGGGCATGGAAAATATGTTTGCAACACTTTTCCATCCTCTGCCTGTTCCTCGAGTCAGGCTGCCGGGGGGGGGGCTGGCGTCCCCCTCGCCAGGCCCCGGGGGCGAACGCAAAAAAGCGGGAGAAGGAGAGATCCGTAGGGTCTGGCTTACTTTGGGTGCCTGTCTGTAAGCAAGCAGGCGGCGAGATCGCCGCGCCGGGTGTCTTTCCGAGAGCGGCGGGCTCCGGCCCCGGAGAACCCACCCAGCCGCTCCAAGCGTGGCGGCTTCGGCTTGCTCGCAGCGTCCGCACCCGGATCCGCGACGGCTTTGCGCGGCGCCGGAGACCAAGGCGGCTTCGCAGCTGCCTTTCCTCCGCCTCCAGCCAACCCGCCTTTCCCAGACTGGGAAAACCCCCTGGATTTCCAAGGGAGGGAGGGAGGGAGGGAGGAGGAGATCTGAAAGGGGTGGGGTGGGGGAGAGCCCTGGGAAGCTGGATTCCGGATCCTGCCGGTCTCTCGCTCTTCCCGAAGTTTGGAGCGAGCCGGGATCCACCCCGGAGTGGCGGGAAACGGCCCCAGTCCAGACTGCGGGGATCCTGACAACGCGGCGCGCTTAGGGCGCAGACACGAACCTGCGGGAATGCGGCTCCTCGGCGCGGTCTCCGCGCTGCCTCTTCGCCCCTTTTTTAAATCCAGCGTTTTGCGAGTCGAGTCCCTCCTGCTCCGAGCGGCGCGAGCTTAAGAAAATGCTCGTCATGGCAACGCCACTGCCTAGCCCGGCCAGACTCGCGCCCCCCGCCCGCCCTTCTCCAAAGGAGGAGGGACTCTCTTAAGGTGGAGCAGGCGAAGCCCGGACGCCTCGGAGCTTTTTAAGGGGGAGGAAGGGAGATGCGGCTCCCTGAAGATCGCTGGAGGGTTTTTGCTCGCGCGCGCGACCCCCCCCCCCCCGCATGTAGGGAGACAGATAAAACTCTGAGCAGGAGCAATGGAGTGCCAGGGAGGAATGGGGAGAATCGGAGATGCCGGGCTGGTTTGCTTTTTCTTCTTTTTTTAATTGCACGCTGCTGCAGGCAATTATTAAACACCGCTGCTTTGGAAGAAAAGGCAGCTTTTAGAACAAAGTATCTCTCGATTGCGGCTGCTTTCTTTCCGCCCACCATGTTCCTTTCTCCCAGACCAACTTAACCAGTAAACAAAATATCTATATAATGATCGCAAGAACATAACACAAAGGTGCATAGCTACTTTGTTATTTCTGCAAGGCTTTGCAAACAGTGATGGGGTTCTTAGAACTACTCATACATCGTAAAGTAGATCAGCCACCTGCGACGTCTAGACTTTGACCCGATTGCCATAGAGCACCTATCAGCCAGATATCCATGGGTCCTAGTTGGAACAGACCCATTGAAATTAATAGACATTTACTGGCTCATATCTATTAATTTTAATGGCCCTAATCTAAGTAGGACTGAGTAGGAGGCAGAGACCTGTTTCTTGTTTCCATTTTGTAGACAATTTTGTAAACCGTTGAATAGTACAGAAATGTAATATCCTAATCAAATAGATTTGAGTTGGGTTGCACTTCTAAATAATGATTCTATGTTTCGAAAGTTACAGAAACTTTTATCCTTTCTATTAATGGGGGGGAGCAAAGGAGGTCCCTGCATTCTTCCCTCTCAGAGTGATACAATTACAGTGATACCTTGGTTCTCGAACTTAATCCATTCCAGGACTCTGTTTGACTCCTGAAACCGTTTGAAGACCAAGGCACGCCTTCTGATCGGCTGCAGGACCTTCCTGCACTCAATCGAAAGCTACGGAAGCCATGTTGGACGCTCTGCTTCAGAAAAACGTTCACAAATCAGAACACTTCTGGGTTTGCAGCGTTCGGGAGCTGATTTGTTCAACAACTAAGCTGTTTGGGAACCAAGGTACCACTGTAATTATTCTTGCTTGCCTAGGCTCATTACCTAGGACTGCTTCTGTGCAAAAAGCAGAAGTGGCTTTATGGTTAAGGTTGAACCTCTATAATAGCTGCGAGGCAAGTGGGTCGCTGTTGCTTACTGGGAGGGAGATGGGAAGAGCGGAAGGCAGTGGGGAGGCTGCCACAGTGAAACTGCGCTAGCAGAGCCAATCTGGTACTCCTGCTGGTGCATTTGCACCACGCTGACCTCCCCTCCACCTTGCCCCTCCATCCAGTCAACTCACTTGCTGAGCAGCTAGCCCCACCCAACTCACTTGTAGAGAGATCACCACAGCAGATCCTATGGCGTGTTGGGGAACTTGGGCTTGGGAAACGAATGCAGCCTTCCAGGCCTATCTATGTGGCTTTTTGGATTCTTTCTCAGGCCACACCCCTCTCCACAAACTGCACCAGCCACACCTTCCTTGAGTGCTTTTGCCTGGCTGGAAGTATGGTGATGCCTCTTCCTTTTCAGGATAGATGTGTGTGCATGCGTATAGACCACATAACTGGAATGTGGGCTGTTGAACAAAGAAAAGATTTGCATCCCATGCTCCACCCACACTTGCCTCTAGCCACACCCACCACTACTATGCAGAGTCTCTAGAAGGTTATCCATGAGGGAATAATGCCCTTGAGCTGAACGAGGTTTCCCAGTAAAAGGCAAGTTCCTTCTTTTCCACCCCATGAGTCATAACCCCAAGAGCCTTCTATCTTTCCTTATGCACCACCACAAACTCTTAGACTGAAAGCACTCCCCCCACCCCAGAACATCCTTAAATTATGGGTTATAAATTGTGGGTTGCCATCTGATTTATTCTGACAAGAGAGAGAGAAGCATTCAGGGTGCAAAGGCCTCTTGACCAGGCACCAGACACTCAGTAGGGATGGAATCTGTATAACCTCTTGTAGGTACAGCTAGAAAATGCACGTGAAGCACTTTGAACACTTGAAAGCACTGTACAAATGTTAAGTTTCTTATTATCCTCTCCCTCTTTTGTTGTTGTTGTTTAGTCATTTAGTCGTGTCCGACTCTTCGTGACCCCATGGACCAGAGCACGCCAGGCACCTCTGTCCTCCACTACCTCCCGCAGTTTGGTCAAACTCATGCTGGTAACCTCGAAAACACTATCCAACCATCTCGTCCTCTGTCGCCCCCCTTCTCCTTGTGCCCTCCATCTTTCCCAGCATCAGTGTCTTCTCCAGGGAGTCTTCTCTTCTCATGAGGTGGCCAAAGTACTGGAGCCTCAGCTTCATGATCTGTCCTTCCAGTGAGCACTCAGGGCTGATTTCCTTAAGAATGGATGCGTTTGATCTTCTTGCAGTCCATGGGACTCTCAAGAGTCTTCTCCAGCACCATAATTCAAAAGCATCAATTCTTCAGCGATCAGCCTTCTTTATGGTCCAGCTCTCACTTCCATACATCACTACTGGGAAAACCATGGCTTTAACTATATGGACCTTTGTTGGCAAGGTGACGTCTCTACTTCTCAAGATGCTGTCTAGGTCTGTCATTGCCCTTCTCCCAAGAAGCAGGCATCTTTTAATTTTGTGGCTGCTGTCACCATCTGCAGTGATCATGGAGCCCAAGAAAGTAAAATCTCTCACTGCCTCCATTTCTTCCCCTTCTATTTGCCAGGAGGTGATGGGACCAGTGGCCATGATCTTCGTTTTTTTTAGATGGCCACTCTTCTCCTGAAGTATATTATAACCATGGGGTTAGGGAGAGTCCTCCTGATAGGGATAGGGATTTACTTAAAAAACAATGCACAACTGCTACTTGCCTGATTATCCTCCTAACTAGTGTGGCCTGAGGGCCCCACAGATCATCATCATTGCTGCCCTGCCTTCTCTCTCTCACACACATGCAGATATCTCTCTACAAAAGGGAGTGAGTGATAGGGCTTCTACAAGTCAACTAAAATGTACTACCTCCCTGGTAGGAACAGCTCTCCAGTTCCTCCTCAGTCTATATGCACCATCGATGTTCATGGCTCAGATGGTGGTGGGTACCATGACCACTGACTCAGGGTCAGAGCTCATTGGAATGCCCAGAGCAACAGTCTGGTGCCAAGGTGGAGTTTGTGCTGAGCTTTACAGCTGAGTAAGATCAGGGACTCTCAAAGCCACTTTTGCCTGAGACATTAGGGTGTGCCTGGGCACACCCAGCACGCTCTGTATGCATGCCTATTTTTAAAATGGGCCTTGTGAGTTTGAAATCTAGAAGTCACCAGTGCATGGAATACAGTAGCCAAGTCACCTCTGTCCTAAAGGCACCTTAGCTGGAGAACCAGCAGGAGTTGGAGACAGGCAGGAAATCCCACATGTTCCACTCCCCTTCTGCTACATTAACAGAGCAATTTAAAGTCCTTGTCTGCCATTCTGGAGTAGGTTTAGATGGGGTGGAGGGGACCTTCCACCCAGCTTCTGTTGGCAGAAGAGCTCTACTAGCAATGGGGGAGCCCCACTGGCTGGAAAGGGGCACCCCACAGGGGGGTTACCGCCACAGAAGCCAGTGAACCACCATGACACCTTTTGAGGGCAGGTTGAGGGCAGACCTGAGGATAGCTCAGTTGATAGAGTAGGAGACTTTTCATCTGAGGATCATGGGTTCGAGCCTGTCAGGAGTGCGTGCAGGAGCCAGGCCCTGTGACCAGTAGGGCTTCGCAGGACCAGGGCTTTCCTAAGTTTGTTCTGGAGCAGCAAGGTGCAGCCGCACAGGTGAGGCTGATTGCTAACTCACAGCACCTGGCGGCAAGAGCTGGGAAGGGATATAAGGTCAGCATTTGCCTTTGACTCTTTGCCACAGCAACACGCTTCCTCCTTGGCTCCTTGACTCCCGGCTCTCTGACCCTGGGACCCTTGGCTTCCAGACTTCCATTCCTGCTCCTACCCCGCCGTCTTGCCCCCAGTCCTGACGTCCTCGGCCGGGACTTCAACCGCCTGTAAACCGGACCGTGACAGAGCCTCACATTGGATAGAAGGTTCCTGCATTCCAAGGAGTTGGACTAAAGGACCCTGGTGGTCCCCTCTAACTCTACAATTCTATGGTTCTATGATTCTGCCACCACATGACAGCAATAGGCATGGTCCTGGCCTCTTGCTTTGCTGGGAATTGGTGCTGCACTGCATTGTTTTGCTCCATCCCCCCTTCCTCCCTGACTGGTTCAAAAGGTGGTGCTGTAGGCAAGTGGCAGTGGCTACACTGCTCCCTCAAGCCCCACCACTGCTGGCCAGGGGGTTGGGTTACAGCCTGTAGTAACTAAGGGTTTGCCCTTTCATGACACCTAAAGTCAGATGCCTGAGACTGTCGCCTCCCTCTGCCTAACAGTAGAGCCGGATTAGCTGAGTATATTTCCATTAGATCAGTCACCTGCTAGTTCACTATATTTAACATACTAGAACTTCCAGTTGAGACACGATATTTCCTGAAA